CGGGAGGGCAGCGCGCAACCCCCTCCGCGGGGCCGTTACCTTCTCCGCCTGGGCGAGGTAGAGCCAGAGGCGGCGCCAGGTGCACAACTTCTTCCTCTCGCTGAAGTTGAAGGCCATCTCGGCGCTGGCGTAGCGCGACACGAGCGGCGAGCGGTACCGGGCGAGCGCGTCCTCCTCGGTGCCGGGGGTCGCCATGGTCGCCGGGGGGTCGCCGTGTAACGGTCGCCGCGTGTAACGGGCGCCCAGAGGCCGCGCGGCGCGGGGGGGAATGGCGGGCCCTGTTGTGCAAGGGGAAAGCCCCGCCCACAGGGGGCGTCGCAAGGGGAAAGCCCCGCCCCCAGAGGGCGTCGCCCCGCCCCCCGGCGCATCCCTGCTCCCTCCCCTGGCTCCTGGCCGGGGAAGAGCTCGTCCTGGGCCAGGACGCACAGTTAAAGGAGAGCACAAGGCCCACGTACATACCTGTATGAACTATATATGTATACGTGTGTATACACACACATACACATGCATACATACATGTATAAACACATCCATTTGCATGCTCTATACATATAAACATATATATGCACATATATTTGCAGATATGCATGCATGTTTGTATATATCTATACATATTTTTATTTACACACACCAAGGAGTGCTCTCAGCATCCAGCTATCACTGTCTCACGGGAGCTGAAGAGCGGGGCCCTCAGGACCCCCTCCACCAGCCCTTGGGCTCACGCTCCCTCTTGTACCTTCTCATTGCCCGTCCCAAGCTCCGCAGAGGACAGGAGCGGTGGCACTTTCACAAATACCAGCAAGGAGGCTCTGGCATGGGAACTCCATAAAAATGCAGCTTTGAAGGGCAAAACATATATATATATTCCAGGGGTATGATTTTAACACACAAAATGAAGCAATGGGGCAAATATTGTTTTTCCTTCAAGGTGCATGGCTTCCTGCCAATGGGGTGGGATTTTTTTACAGCAGTGGAGAGCCTGGATTTAGGGCCTTCAAAGTATGTTAAGAGGATCCGAGGCCCAGCCACCAAGGGGACCATGGTTTAAGATCTGCTCAAGCAGCCGCCCTGAACCCCAGAGAGGTCCCAGAAGCATCTGCATGAGGTATCTGAGGCCTCTTCCCTCTTGAACACCAGACCTTGGACTTACCAGCAAGAGTCTGACCACAGTGCTGGGACTAGAGGTGGAAAAGAGGAAGCTGCGTCCCCAGGAGGACACACTCCGTGAGTGGAACCGAATGAACACGCAAAAACCAGGCATATTAAATGCTTAGCAGCCAAACACATTTATTAGTCTTTTTTTTCTTTTTTCCAGGAACCCAAAAATATTTTGTAGTTATAATGTAAGCAACTGAGTTGCACATAATACAATCATATCTTTCAAAAAAATAAAAATAAAATAAAAACAAAAAAGCTGTTTAAAAGCCCAAAAAAACCTTCAGAAAACTTATATATGTATTACACCATCTCTCGGTTTCAATGAAATGACGACGACTTAATTCCTTGTTACTCTTAACTTTTCACACTCCAATAAAACATCATCCTTTTGTTTGTTTTTTTTCTTTTCTGTTTTTTCTTTTTTTTTTCTTTTTTCTTTTTTTTTTTTCTAAATCCAGCATGAGAAATACAGTACCTGCTATGGCAAAAATACACATAAAATGCAACATTTCAGCTTATTTGTACATTAGTAGAGTTTAAACTTTTTTTTTCTTTTTAAGTGAACCAGTGATTTTAAGTACCACTATACTAAAAGTAAAATAAAAATATAGAAAAGGAGGAGAAGGGGGGAGGGGCAGCCAGCCATACAAGAGCACCTTTTAAAGTGCTGAGTTTCTGTGTCCATGGAAAACCCAGAGGAAAGGAAGCAAGTTCAAACATCTGAGAGAGGATGGGAGGGACATTAAGATGAAACCTGGATATGCAAGACACTGTGTCATCTCTGCCTTCTCCCCGTTTGTCCTGCATCTGCTTTCTCTACTGCACATGGGAGAAGGAGGGGAGAAATCAAACTACAATAGAAGTTTAGTAAAGAAAGCTATTTCAAGTATGAGAAAAACAAAATCAAAAACACTTAAAGGTAACTTGCAAATAGCATCAATATATGCAGCCACTATTTGTATTATTACAATGTCTGCTTCTGGGGGACAGTGTTTCAGGCAAGAGGACTTTAGCTGTACCTTCCTGTTACCTATTTATGTGCAAAGTAGAAAAGCTGCCTTTTCTAATCCAGACATTTTGGACATCACTGATTTTCTGCTCTGCAATCTCCTCCCTTTATTTATTTGTTTTTTGACAAAGGGAGAAAGGTGGCATTATGTTACCAAGAAGATCCAATGAGATTAACCCACTTCTCCATTCTTCTTCAAGACCCACCTTCTCCCACTCCTCGCTAGCAATAAAGAGAAATTTGCCCAACTTCTGATGCCCACCATTAGCCAGTTTCCTGAACAGGTAGAAGGCATTTACCTTTGTAAACATAATCCCTTGTGTTTGTGGAACTCAAAGCAGCATTTCGTATCTCCATCCAGGCGGTGGAGATTAGGATAGATCAGAACCCTTCCCCTCACTGCTTTTCCTCCTATTCTCCCCGCCTCCCTCCCCCACCCCAAAAGAGTGCATTTGGTTACTTTTGTTAGAAAATAAAATTTTTGGTTCTTTGGGGGAAATTACCTAATGTTGAATTCAAAGTAAACATTACAGAGTTGACAGCAGCAGAGTCACACTGCTGTTTGTTCTGTTTTCTGTAAGAGAAAAAAACGCCACCAAACACCCAACACTGTGCCTCAGATGTTCTGCATGTTTTAAATGGGGTATGGCAGAAATCTAAGGTAGATAAAGACGTGTGTGTGTGTGTGTGTGTGTGAGAATCCTACAGGTGCACACGCATCACTTCAGCCTCATTCTTTGCACAATCACTGTAGATGTTTCCCCCTGGGTACTAGCAGAGGTGGAGAGGGTGGCATATGGCAATCTTGGAGCAATGTTCCTAAGGCCACAGGGAGCAACGCAGAAGGACGGAAAGGACCAGGGTGTGTGAAGACAGGGCCGTTTCAAATATTTGACTGAAACCACATCTCAAGATTTCCAAGGCCAAATTCCAAAAGGCATGGGCTCATATGCACATCCCTGAGACACACAACCAAGAAAGAAGGAACAGAACCATGTGATGGGAGAGAGGCGAACGTAGCAGAGGTTCCCTGACAGCTGTGGGATTTTCCCAGCGAAGACGTCTTCCCCCATCACCCTCTCAGAGGTTCTGGGAGAGCTGTAAGGCATATACACGAGCAGCATCTACTAGCATTCCCTCTGTTCCTACGTATCGTTGGCAGGTGATGGCTTCTGTGTATTGTGGACAAAAAGACACTTCATCGTCAAGTGCCTCTGGTAGAACACTTCCAGAAATCACTTCAGGGAAGGAGACAAAGTTACACTGCCCTTCGCTCCTGGAGCAGCATAAAATGGCAAGTTTCTTCATATTACAATCCCGAAACGCTGAAACACCACCTCCCTTCCTTCCCGATGGCAGGAAAAGATGTGTCCACTTGAAGGATGACATTACCAAGATCTATTTAACGCTAGGGAAAAGTGTACAAACTGATTCCAATTTGGAGATCTGGTGAAAGCAGCAGCATGTTCCAAGTATTTCACTTATTGCAGTTCAAAGTCTATCAGAAGCGTAACTAGAAAATTGTAACTTGTGTAACTATGTGGAAGAGGAGGAGACCGGCATCAAGAGAAATGAGTATGAGTAACAATCTCCAGCAACTTCTGTTGAGTTATGTTCCTTAGGATCTGAAAGATGGCTTAACTGCTGAAAAGTCCTAAGATCTCTCCTTCCGTGCAAGCAAAAACGTAAAAGAATGAGCTTCCTTGCTGTAAAAACTCATATAATACTTCTGTTATGCTTTTCATCTTTGAAGCACTTTATAAACATTAACTGGTTGATCCTCACAAAACCCCTGTGAGGTAGGTATTATCATCACCCCATTTTTACATATGGGAGGAGGAAAAAAGAAAAAAAAAAAAAGGCAAAGAAGTTAAATGACTTGCCCAAGGCCAGAGAGGGAAGAGCAAGGGCCAATGTTAAAATTCAGGAGTTCCAGGCTTCTGGTCCTCTGCTCAAAAATCACTACTCCAAACCTAACTTAAAAAGGAAAAGTAGATGGAAATAAGAGCCCATTAAGTTTAGAAGATAAGATTCAAATGGTTACATTAAAAGGGGAAATGTACCACGAGGTATCTTTGTGAGAGAGATTAAACTTCAGATTTTTCTTTTCCTTTTTAAAGGCAATCTGACAGAGTGGAACCCTGATAAGATCACATCTGCAAGGCAGGCACAGATGCGAGTGATCATCAAGTCTATTACTTATTACAGTACTGTGAACATCAAAAATAAAACTGCTGAATGCAAACACTGAATACAGGCAGGATAATCTCTCAGTTTATGATATTGTATCTAAGATAATGCCAAAGATAATGCAGGTACCATGGTAGCCCATGGACAAAGAAAAAGTCAAGTCAACGAAGGGTCCCTGTGAAGATGATGAAGAGGGCACTGACGTCTGCGTTTTTGAGGAGATCGCTCCTGGAAGCTCAGCAAGCTCCAAGGAGCACACATAACTCGCGACAACTGCATTTTGGAGATGTGAGAAAATGAATCCCGTCTTGCCCATTATGGCACCAATCACTATACAGTGAATGAGGACCACTGCTTGTGACAGGAAAACCTTGCCTACACATCAGCCTCACTTCCTAAAATTTCAAGCACTGCCAACATTAATGCTTAGTCTTCAGTGGCAACACCAGGGGACAAAGCACTGTTAGCTGTTGATATCATAGGTGATGAAACAAGTTCTCACAGACTTGGCTTTGATCGGGACTAGAAAGGTAAACACTACCTCCATCGTCTTGTCCATAGCTGCGCTGCCACTACTGAGCTGTGCCAGAAACGGTGGCAATGAAGATTTTAGGAACGTGTAGACATCAAAGACTCAGCGTGTTCAGTTCTCCTGGGAGAGCGTGAGACTGCTGTAACGGAGAGTGAGTAGTAAATCCCAAAGAGACAGTGCCTACGGATGGCACTGTGTTTCCTGAGCTTGACAGGGGCCTGAACCCAGGAGGTGATAGATAATTTCCCTGGTAGAGCTGGTGTCTCATTCACCCTTATGGGACCTGGGCTAACACTGCATGGCTAGGATTCACAATCTCACGGAAGTATTTGTTTTGCAGTCGACCTTAGTTTTCCAAAACTCTGCCTAGTTACCAAATAGCAAACTTCTGAAAAGAGAAGTTCCTATGAATCTTCAAAGTCATCATCTCCCCACTTCCCCAGACCAAAATGGATATACCATGGACACAGAAACTCCTGAACAATTTAGCAAAGCTATCTTCGTCCCCTACGCCCCCTTTGCAGAATGCATAGTTTACAATTCACTTACAAAATAAAGAAGCGATGCTGACCACATATGGGACCTTTTTTTTTTTTTTTTTTTGAAAAAAAAACAAACAACCTCTTCTTAAGTTCAGTATCAAAATTCACATTTGCATAATAATACATTTCAAGGCCATTAGAGAGGAATGAGAGCGAAGCAAAGAAAACCGCAGAGTCTCCCCTCTCTTTGTCTTCCTGAATAGAGCTGAGGGATCCCGCTTGGAGTTTCTTTTCAGGATGGGAATTACAAGGGGCTACAGCAACAGCTCTTGATCTTGTACACCTCATGTTTTGGGTAGGATGAAGAAGTGAATTATTGGGAAAAAAAACAAATGGAAGGAGACACTGCAGATTCCCATGTTTAGCTACAAACAGCTTCGAAGAAACAAAGGATTACTTCAGATATTTTTTCCTTTTAAACACTTCTACCTCACCATTTCAAAAACTTTGTCTTCTGTGTAATACCCTGTTCATTTAAATGGCAACATTAAGTGTGCTGGAAGTTGAAGGGTTGAAAAAAAACTTTTTTTTTTCCTGTTTCTCTTATCAGGACACGGACAGAGAGGGTAAAAGTGTGCCTGCACCCACTATACAACTGAAGCTACAAAACATCTTCTCTACATGTATAAATTTGTCTCAAACATCACTGTGTTTCAATTCTCCAGTGCTTACAAAAAATAAAGCCACACACGCTCACGCTCACACGCACACAAACGTAAAGAGAAGCCACGTAGTACGTACACAAACTCAACCTGCAGCTGCAGACTACCCTAAAACTATCGACAGCTTCTGTGCATCACACGACGTCCCTTCTCAGCACCCACCCCGCTCTCTACCACATATGAATACGTATTGTGCAGTGTAGAGACCAGCCCGACGATGCCGCTTGTCAAAAGGGACCAGCGGGCTGCAGCCTCGATGTGTGACCTCTTGGAAAGAATAATTTGACCACTGTCTCCCCTCCAGCCCAAGCGGTCTCCTCCATTAGACAGTCACTATACTCACAAAGGCACATTCATAAATACCACATTTAACTTACTGCTTGTAAAAACACAGAAGGAGGAACACATTAAGCGCTTATACCCCAACCCATCCCTACTGACCCAGCAAGAAGTATCACAATAACGTGTCACTTGGTGAGACCTTACTCTATACCTTTAGAAGGTACATATTAAAGAAGTCTTCCAACACCTCTTTTTATTTTTTTTTGCATAAATGAATGCTTTTTTTTTTGTTTTTGGCTTACATATTTTGGAATACAGCACACTCACTATAAAGCTCTGTTGTAAGGCTACCCCCTAACGTAAGGCTGTTCTACCTTGGCTTGCATTTTCACGTCATTTTTGCTCCTTCTCAACACATTCCCAAAACAAAACAACCTCCCCACCCCCAGTCAGCGCCTTATATAGAAAGGGTTAGCCAAATCCGGCAGGGAGAGGGAGAAGAAAAAGCACATATCATCATAACCATGTCACTAAAATAGCTATTCTACCAAGCTGTGCAACCTGCTCTTACTGCTCAAGAGTAAATGATGATGAAATATGTTCATTTATGGTTGTGTTTCATCTGAAGGAAAAGTTTCCACTTTGACTAAAAAAAAAAACCAACAAAACCCCCTCCCAAAAAGCACACATTAAAAAAGTGAGGAAATTAGTTCTGCACATGCAATGATGCACACTAATACCCAAGGTGAGGCATGTGGTGCTCAAGAAAGCATTTCTTGCTAAGCACTGCCCCCTTGTACTGTGCATTCATGCAAACTTCTCCAATTTCTTTTCCTCCCCTCCGTCCACCACAGTCAATAATGTTTGCTGCAAAAATACTTAATGCTGGCTGGCACAATGCGGTCTTCCCTTCCCTCCCCTCCGTCCCTTTTTCTTTTTCTTTCCCCACCCCCCAAGAGTGCTCTGTACTCATTTACAGAAAGGCTATCGGAGTTGCATCAAAAAACTCCCTTTTTCTCAAGAAATGAACAGGAGTCCTAACACTGCTGAATGTCACCAGTCCCAGCTGCCACACGCACCCGGTGAAAACGGCTCTTTGCAGAGGGCACTTGATTTGCTAGATGCTCGCTCGCCTAACACAGGATTGCGGGAAGTTTTGAGGAGGGAGAAACTTTCCTGCATAGCTTGACGAAGGCGACACACCGTGGATGCCAATGGATGCTGCCTGCTGCGTGCCACAGATGAAGCTGTATTTATCCTGGCCTCCACAGCAGCTTGAAATAAAGGCTTCAATCCCAAACAAACCCATTAGGAATTGTGGGCACTTTTCGTAGCAGAGACAAAACCTTTAATCAATTTTCCTGCCACGACTGCAAGCTATAATCATTACATGGTTTAAAGTCCCAGATATACCACAAAATAGAGCTGTGTTTTGAACAGGACCCTGACTCAGTTTTAACAGCAATCCTACGAAGCTCTGCTTGGCTAAACACTACAGAATGCACCTGACAGGCTCTTATCACCTACTGCAGGGAAACTTTGGTAAAACTTCAGCAACACTGGTAATTACAGTGACCGGACACTTAGGCAAAACATTGGGAGGGACCTAGCAAAACAGTGCTAAAAACTGATTTCTAAGTTAGGCTCCCGCTGTTCAGCGCAACCAGTAACTCTGCTCCAGCATAATTTAAGCTTTGTGATTTAAGTTTGGATGTAAATACAGCACAACAGGGAAACATGCCTTGTCTAGATCAGGGAAGCTCTGCATGTTTCCCTCACTACTGTTAACACCTTTCAGCAACATGGGGAAATCCAGTACTGGAAGTGAAGGAAAAGAAACAGAACTTCAGTTTTAGATTGCTGTATTTTGATCACAGCAGGCGTAAATTATATGATCCAACAGTAATAGGCAAGAGGATTCTTGGCGCTGCAAAAATAGTAGGAAATAAGCTGTACAGAACTGAAATGGCATTTTGCAGAAAATCAGTTTAGACAACGCAACAGATTTGGTAATTTTTGGTTTGGGTTAAGATCAAAGTTGCGCTTCAACATTTGTTTTTTTACAGCTCGCATCAACTTAGTTTTCTTGGTATTATTTTCCTGCCCATAAACACGTGCATGCATATTTACAGTAAAGAAAGCTGCTTTGACTGTAAGGGAACCTCACCACTTCACAAGGTGAAAAAAAATACTCTTTACTCCATCAGGACTTGTACCCTGAGATGCTAACCATCTACCACAAAAACAGCAAACTGGAACACTTGAGAAACCTGGATGCTAAAGTTCCATGAGTTACAGTGAATGTCATATATGCAACAATGCGTGTTGCATTGAAAATAAAACAGTTCCTCAACTACTGCCTTGAGGCACTAACCCTGTTAGGGTTTCCTTGCACAAAGAGCCCTTATCCGAGCAGCACTCGTTTATAAGGTCAGCGGGACTAAGTTATGTGAGGGTTACTCCTGATTTCTTGGACCAGACGTGGCCAAATTTGGCCAACTCAGATACACATAGACTACTCCCATTAAAGTCAACAGGAAACATATACACATCAACAGAATGAGAGGTCTAAGAGGGAAATGTAGTAAGGAATGAAGCAAAGGGAAAAAAAAAAAAATCTATAGTACTGCTTGGATGCACTACCAAAGCCTAACATAAGCCATGGAGAATATGGTAGCATTTTTAGAGAGAAAAAGAGTAAAGGAAAAGCTAACTTTTAGAAAACACTATATCCATCAATTTTACCAGTCCTGAATAAAATAACAAAAAAAGGCCAAAAAAACAAGCCTCAGTGGAGGGGACCAAGAGTTCTAAGGAACAAATGTTTAGGAAATTCATGGGAGTACCAGTCAGAGAGAGGAAAAAAAAAACACAACTTAATATAAAGGTTTATTGTTATTTAAACTTTGAGGTGATTATCCCAGCCAAAGCTTGTTGAAAATATCCTGTTTATACTGAAGAAGAAAAAACACACTTGGCTTAATATTCTTGCTCATTACACAAACCTTTAGGCCACTTATCATGAAGCAAAATACAAAAAGCCTGTAAAAAAAACCCTGACACCTTGTGACTGTAAAGAAAACTTCTCGGGACTGCTGGGAAAGTGTCCAGGTCAAGCATTAGAAAACACTGGGAAAAGGTGGCAAGTCTTCCAAAGTATATGATACTGAAACTGCTTTCCAAAGTAAATTTCAAAAACCTCAAAATAGGTTTTTTATCCTGCCAGGAAGGCAACTTCATTTTTTTTCTTGGACTTCTTACTGCTAAGATACACAAATGGAACAGAAAAATAAGCAAGTCTATTAAAAACCAGACAGCTGGATATACACTGTGTGGGTGTAGGTTGATAAAGTGGTTGATAAAAAATATTACCTTAGAAGACAGTTAAAATGTATGTTACAAATTAAACAATGAAGGATTAAAAATGAGGAAAAGCACAGGAAAGCAAAAAGCAACTAGATAGTATGCATAAACTTAAACTGCATAAATTTGATAATCAGAAACAAGAACAGAATTATGACAAACTGCTCTGTGATTGTGGCTTGAGAAAGTAAAAGTAATTTTTTTTTTTACGTGAAAGATGGGATGTTTGATTTTCATCTGGGAAGAGATATCCACAGTCTGTTCCAAGATGCATCTTCCCCAGCCTCTTTTCCCTACCTTCTTTTTGACATCATTTTTGAACAAGATGCTGCCACTTATTCCCTCCCATGAACAGTTTTCTAAAAGTCCAAGTACCCTAACATGAATTTCTGCTCTCTTTTTGCTATTAGGCGCTCAAGCAGTAGTAGACTACTTACCAAGATCACGAAACAGCTGTCCTGATAGGAAGAGTCCAGTTAGTGCAATGTTCAGAAGATGTTTGCAATGGTTAGGAATGCCATGACCGTGAAATATGGTCAACAACCACACACCACACCATGATTAAACACACTTTAGAGAAGATCAGAACTATCAAGTATTCTGTTTTTCAGACTTGAAATGGGAAGCAGTAAGATTAACGTGGCTTTACATTAACGATTTAGGAAAACTATCACTGAGGAGACAAACCCCTACATTCACAGGCCTGCTTGCCTGGAGAAAGGAGAAGCAGAGTGTTTCACAGAGGGGCTCGGACCAACAGGCTCCTGAAGTTCTAGACCACCAACGTCTCAGCAGTCAGTCACTGCTAACTTCCACATGACTTCCAAAGTGACTTCCCCACTGAATTGTACTATTTCCTCCTTTTTAGGACACTGCTGATTGATAGGACACAACCTGTAGCAAAGCACTGATAATTAACAAAGCATTAAAATCAACTAAAATATCAAAAACCAAACTCTAAACTCCCTAAACAAACCCTCCTCTACTGGCCCATTACAGGATTTTTTTTTTCTCTTCAAATCAGCATTGGTTTTCAACACACATATACGCTCTTACATACATGCAGCACAACATGGAAACACTGAGCAACTGAAATGAAAAGGACAGAAACTTGGCATTTCATTTTTTTTTTAATAATAAAAGGTTATCTCAACTACTGTTATATAGCTCATTGCATGACATGCCTCTGCAGCATGCTCTTTTTTAAAGAGCTGGTACATTCATTTCCATTAAGGACTATACTGCCTCCTCGCCTGGCCTTATCTTCCTTCCCTCTCCCTCCCGTAGGGCATGTGGGTGCATGTAAAAAGGCACTAAAGCGGTTTTTGTGGTTTTAGCCTAGCAATTTCAGGCAGAGTAAGCCCCTATCCCTTAGTGCTGGGAGACAGAAGTTAGCCATCCCAATACTCTACTCCGAAGTTCAAGGCTACGAGCCCCAACAGCCAGCAGCAACAGGGTGAACAGAAGAGTTTAACAGATATTCCTCTCGGAAACAAAATGGAAAACTTGTAAGGAGCAAAAGATGAAGAAAAGCAAGCAGCAAATCTCCAAGTGGGGAACAAATCTGATCAAATAGCCGGAAACATGGAAGTTGTTTGATAATGTACATTTCAGTCTTTCCTTATTCTCACTTTTTTTTTTTCTGTACTGAAAAAACAGGATAAAACTACTTCATTATCGGGTTTTCTACTAGCACTGGTTTTCTTTAGTACACTACTTTAAAGTCATATAAAGCACCGTCCTGTATTTCCCACTACACCTCCTCGCTGAGGACTCATTCAGTTCAGCTAGACTGCATTTTCTTTACATTTACAATTTCGTTCCGCTGTTAAAAAGGTGCTTGGAAGTTTTAGTTTGGAAGGGAACAAAGTGATAGATTTCCATTCATACACTTCTCTCTTCTCCATGCAACTGCACGCATCTGCATGAGTAACAGCGCACTATAAATGACAACCCTCTTCTCCCACAACTTGTTTAACATTACAATGAAATTCTGTCACTGGTACTGAAAAGGTTTCTTAATGTGTTTTAATTCATACAGTCTTTAAAATTCTTGATCCCCAGTCTAACAGTAACATTTGGAGATATTTTTTTCTGTTTTTTTTCTTTTTATTTTTTTTTTAGCTTTTTTATTTTAAAGTAAAAACTTTCAAACATTTTGAAGATTCAGGAACTTGTAAAAGTTTATCAACAAGAAAACAGCCATCTATCTAGGATAAGATAAGGTTAAATTAACCATCTTCAAAAACTGGCTTCCTACCCTAGAATTCCTGAGAATGCTTGCAAATTTAAAGCAGGAAAATAAAATGTTAAAATAAAAACACTGTTAAATGCTCCCAGAGTTAGTCTTCATCTAAAATATATATATGCACTTTTTGGTCTTTTTTTTTTTTTGTACGTTTTAATTTTTTTCCCTTTAAGCTTACAATGGAAGAACAATTTAGCTTTTCTTTTTTTTTTCTTTTTTTTTTCTTTTAATATTTCAAATCCCTCATTATGTCTTGTAAACAAGAGGGGCTCTAGCACCCGGCTTTCACCGTAGTATCTCAATGAACTCAACTAACCCAAAGTGCAGGAAAAGGGACCTTAGGGCAGGTTGGGAGAGAGAAGTGAGGGTGGAACACAGCGACGAACCAGCACGTTTTAGCAAACCACGCGACAGAACGGATACTGGCTTCACTCAGGCCAAAGGTGCTTCCCTAGGAAGTACTGCTGGCACAGGACTTCATAAAACCTACTCGGCGGATCGGAGCTCGGCTGGTCTTCAAGCAGAGGCTATCAGAAACAAAGCTGTACGGATGCGTGCGTGGCAGGGGAGCTAGCTAGCAGGAGCTGGAAGAGCACATTTTGTTTCACTGTGCACGGCGGGATGAAGGGGGAGACGTGATAGAAAAGTATATTTCAAAAAGGAGCCAGAATATGCTGCATGCTCCAGTTTACTAAACAAATACAAACCTACTCGTACTTTTTGTCACGTAACGCTTTGCATACAAATCTACAGGCATGTGTAAATGCAGCATTTCCCTCAGTCAGCCTTCCTTGCGACGTTGGGTTTTAAATAGATAGGATGAATTTAAAAAAAGCCACGAACTCCCTAGCCCGTCCCCCCACCCCGACACACACACACACACACTCACACTCAACACACACTCACACTCCTGCCTTAACTGAACCTGCCTTAGCTTCTCCCCACCCAGCCCACACTTAGCGTTAGATGCATTAGACGTTACTGTATCCTTCAATGAAGATGCTGAAGGGAGAGACCCATCCCCACCCTCCCTCCCCTACAGCTAATGCAAACGCGGAGCTGCTCCCACCGCGGGTCGGAATGGACAAGGTGTTTGCTGGTACTGAATGTCGGCACTTCACGTTGGACAGTGTAACCGCTAGACGACGCTACGGGGAAGTGCTAGCACGTAGGGGAAAAAAGTACCGGCATCTCTTTTCCCTCTTCTTCCAGCCCCCCGTTCCAAGGAAAAAAAAAAAAAGAAAGAAAAAAAAAAAGAAAAGAAAAAAAAGAAATCGCCCTGCTTTGTGTAAATGGACATCCCTTCAAGTCTGCTACAACCCTGTTCACAACAAGCAGTGTCCGAAGTTTTGTTCCCAGCGCACACGGGCACGCACACACTGGCTATCACTGTGGATCATATGTCATCCCTATCCTGCCCAGAGTACTACTACACTGATGCTAAAAAAAAATAATGAAAAAAATAAACGACCCCCCCCAATACCTTTCCTTAAATACAGAAATTAAAAAGCAACAGTACAGAAGAAGTAAAAACAAAAAACAAAAGGTGCAATACTTTAAAAAAAAAAGTCTTTGCTAGTTATATACCTGCCTAAGCAAAAAATCACGTACACAGGAAAAAACACAACACAGAAACAAAAGGAAACGTTTTTGAAGTACACACTGGTTTAAGAACATTCGTAAGTAAACGTTTCTGTCAGTGATGGTCTGGTGCTGTAATACACCGAGGCCTGGCACAGGTAACGCTCACCGTGAAGGACGCGGAAAGGAGTTAGCTGCTGCATGTGCTTTCAGGAGATGAGGCAGGCAGGCCGGCCAGCAATTTGCTGACACCTTTTAGTTCTGTCAGTTTTAATAAGAGTGATAAATCAATTGAAATGCTAATTGGGCTGGGCTGGAATTTCAGGCTTTTGATGGATTCTTCAAGAGTGAACATGGGTGCCTATACATAGGTTTAGGGGAGAAATGAGATACTCATTTTTTTCTAAAGGTATTGAAGCTTGGAAGAGACTGAATAAGAACATTTGTGTTAGCCGCACAAAAAATGGCAATGTCTTCCATTCTCCTCTTTTCCCCTCTTTGAAGAAAAAAAAATGGCTTGCATTATATAACAAACATTCTAGGGTTCACTCAGTACAAAACCCCCACATGCAGACATAAATAAATAAATACACTGCTACTCAAAAGACAACATTGGCTCCCCTCTCACCAAATCCTTTGGATATGGCAGTGTTCTGCTCTACCACAGGGTTAGAACGAGGGCTAGGAAGCAACTACCCACTCAATATGATCTGCGAACTTGAGATAGCACCCTGCTAAAATGAATTTTTTTTTTAAAAAAAACCCTACTGACAAATTTTAATCCAGCCCAACTGGATTCTGCTTCAGTCACAGGGACTCCACCATGCCTGTCTTGCTGTCCAGAGTCAAGACATGCAGATGGCCAGCCAGCCTGTAGACCATCAGCAATGCAGCGTTTCAAGATTATATATATAGAGAAAAAAAAAATGCACACACACAACATGTGCACACGCACTCACACAGAAACAAGCACACGTGGGCAGTTACATGTGCCAGAACACACTGGTACTTTTCAACCAGCCAATCACAAAGTGTTGGTTTTCTTGTTTTTTTTTTTTTTCATTTTGTCTTTTTTATGTTTTTTTTTATTTTTTTTTGTTTTTTAAAGTGAGGCTCCGTGAAGTCTTCCCCTCCCCCCACCCTTTTTTCTTCTTTTGTACCCCACCCCCTGCCCCAGCCCAACATGGTAGACCTAAGGACGGAAACACACCCAGTGCAAACAAAGTTAAAAAGCTATTTTTTCAGTATATATGTTTCTTAGCAACAACTTCCGTATAACATGAAAAAGTGAAAAACTAGAAACTAATTTTTTTAATTTTTTGTGTTTAAATTTAAATGGTATGTGTACTTGCTTCACATTGTCTTTCTAAGTTGGCGTTCATGATTCAAGTATTTCAAGAGTGATATGTTCTCTTTTTGGATTCATATTCCAAACGAAAAAACTGAAGTTATATAAGGGAGGCAACTATGTGCTCAGACAGTCTGTCAATGACCCACCTTTTTTTTTTTTTTCTCTCTCCGTTTTCTTTTTTTTCCTTTTATAAATGTATTTATTGCAAGTTGAAAAAAACGAAAAGGTCAAGTTAGTGCTGCTGCTGTTCCAAAAAAGGTCACGAGGTCAGAGTTGAAAGTTCTAAGTTCAGATTGAATCCGACCCTCCTCCCAGAAGGTCTCCAGGTAGTAAGGGAGCAGGGCTGCCCATTCTGTGTGGATCCTCTACACTTGGGACCCCCCACAAGCTTGAAGAATAGTTTGGGGGCCCCCACAACGAAGCGCCAGTGAGATCACCCCCACTGCTGCCGCCGCCACCACTGCTCCACTGCCCAAGCCCTGTTGACCCACCAAAAAGATTCAAAGCAGGTCCAACTGGATCTGTCTGGTTCTGTCCCGTCTCCAGGGATTGCCAGCCTGCTGTGGGTGCACTTGGGGTTGCTGCAGGTGTAGGGGGCTGAGCTTGTGCCAGAAAGCGACTAACCTCTTCATCTGTGGCAAACTCAGCCAGGATGGTAGTGTTTCCCAACACACACCTAGGAGATGAAACACATGGGAAAACAGGAATTAGACAAAGCCAAAAGGTTTCCAAGCCCTGTGCCCTTACAAAATGACGAAACTCTAAAACCAGGGCAGAAATTAGCCTGAGTGATCAAGGGAAAAGTCTGCCATTTTTGAAAGTGAACCCAACTTTGCAGAGCAGGAGTACTTCCCCTTTTTAAGGGGAAAACTCCTCATCTCCAGCTGTTAACGGCTGAAGCAAAAACTTTCTAAATTTAAACTAATGGCCTGACCAACATAAAGGCAATAAAGGGACATATAGAGTGTAGCTAAAATGGGAGATGCACATACACCACCTTTCAAACAGAACAGATCTCAAGGAAAGATTTAAAAGTACATGCAATGCACGATGAAAGATCTCTCTAGTTCAGAAAACTAAAATTTAAGTGTTAAAACTCAATGAAAAGAGTAACAGGAAAAGAAGTAGGGGATTTTTGTGTCATAAATTCACACTTTTCAAAAGAAGCCAGAGGCGCAGCCAACTCCAAGAGGCTTAGAACAGGGCAGCTAAGATTTGCAGCCTCTCCAGTAAGTCATTTCAGGTGTATCTCAATTATAACTGCAGCAGATTCCCCCAGATGTGGATTACGTGTGTATCTGCAATGCGGCAGGCCTCTGTGAATCAACATTAACCCTACAAGTGTTACAGATGGACAAAACAGAGCGAGCTGTGCAAAAACAAGGGACAGTTTTCAACTAGACACAATTAAAAAGAATGTAAATGTTTTAGTATTTCTGTAGGACAAAATTAATCTTGCATCAAAGGTGCTTAAAACATGACCCACAAGGCACTTTGTTCAGGGTGCAGATTAAATGAATAGCTCCTGGGATAGTATCCCATTCATTACTTCCCGCCGTTTAAGACGTTAACATTTAGATAGCTTAAAAAAGCCCACACACTTTCTTAGGATATTTACTGCTATAGCTAGGAAAGCTGCAGGACATATTAACTTGAAGCTGGAGATCCACCCAGCAGTCAAGAGGGGCATGTGGTCTGTGAAAACACCTCTTGAAGAACGATCCACATTTTGGAGCTTGACAGTCTCTTCCCTTTCATGTAATGAGTATTTCTTCGTAAAGCATTCCTTCCTTTCTAACAAAATGGAATCAATATTTTATCATCATTCACATTCTGATTTACAGTAGGGAAAAAAAAAACAAAAAAAAAAAACAAACAAACAGAAAAACCCAGACTGCTTGGGAAAACATCCAGGAATGAATGTTATGTGAAACAATCCACAAGCTTTAATAAAATGGCTAAAATTGTGCAGTCACTCGCACACTGGTCACAGCTGTACCACGCCAATTGCAACTTCTTAGCTCCGCATCTGCTTGTCTGTAGCAGGAATTAAATTAACCTAACAGAGGGCACCTTTGTTTCCCAGCTTCCTCTACTGACGAAGGAAAGACTCCCTTCCAACAACAACACTTGAAGTGGTTTTGACAGCATAGCCCTGGAGAGGCATCTCACACTCCTAATTCCTCTAGCAAGAAAGGAGGGAGACGGGGATTGCTCACATGTGCAGTGCAGTCTGGGCCTTGGCCGCCTCCTGTTTGGTGTTGTATCGGATAAGGGCCGTGCCCTGGGTCAGGTTCAGATGGAATGTCAGCAGTGGGCCATGCTGCATGCAGATCGTCCTCAAGGTTGACCCATCGATCTAGGGAAGAGCAGCCAAGGACAAAATAAAGGTTTGTAACTGTTTCTCCAGATCTACCTCCATCCTAGCTCCAAATACCCACAGCAATTAAAAGATAACCTCCTCTCAGAGGTAAATGGGTGAAGGGATTTGCACCAAAACAAACACATTTTGGTTCCTCTATCTCCAGCACTCTGCTTTAAGTAGAATTGAGATCTTGTAATTCTTTTGGTAAAAATGGAAATCTCACTTCTAAAATGAGATTTTTTTTGTCTTTGTGTTCTGCAAAACAGTAAGTCTTTGAAACAGTCAGTGATCTGTCTGCCAAACCCAGGTACTCATTCCTCTTAAACTAATGTTTTCATAGCAGTTGTAGCCTGCGCTCCTTCTGCAGCAGTAATGGCTTGTGACCTCCAGTATCTGCTGTTCTCCCAGGGGTCTTGTACAGATTCTGTTCTTGCTTTGCCACAAAAACGTGCACCCTTCCCTCCTCGAGTTAGTATAATAAACCTCAGTGAGGAAGGAGCAACTTGTTTGTGGGTACAGACATGGCTATGTTAAAACAGAGAAACTGAAATGAAGATACTATCCCTGAACTCAGCTATCCTTTAGTTCCCCTCCTCTCCAGTGTACTGTCCCACAAGGAAGAACACTGGTTATGGAAGAGGCATAATCTAACTATATCCCATTTCTTTATCCATCTAAATGCCTGCAAAGTATATTCCTCTTCCACTAAATGATCCTCAAAGAAGTATTAAGTCATCTTGAACAGGGAGAGTC